GCCAAAAATAAATTATAATTACCAGAGTTGTTAAGGCTCCTTTTTAAAAATAGCTAACTCCCGCTCCTAACTTCTCAAAAGAAGCTAGCTCCCCTCCAAGTAATGGAGTGCCACTCAATCCTTTCCTTTGATTTTCATTCTTTTAGAAAGTACAAAACAAAATAATAATTTTTTTATCAAAAAAGTTTTATTTTTAAATATGTTTTTCTTTTATATATTAGAAATTTAAATAATTATTAAATATTAATTTAATTATCTGGTGGAATTATAAGCACTATAAAAAAATTCATTCACTCATTCATTTTATTTAAAATTCATGTTTATATATAGAAAACACATTATTATTGAAAATGGACTAAAATGAAAATAATAAACAACACAAGTAATACCAAGCCCCATTAAAATAATTTATGATTTTTTCATATTCATATCATTTTATTTATTTATCTTGAGTTAAATTAACTATTCTAACCCAGAACTAAGTATAAGTATTAATCCTCCTCCCAACTAAAATGAACCATATTTGTTTCACAAACATAATCCAATGTAAATGTTTAAGGATTTTTCTGAACTAGAGTGGAATCTTTACTTAAAATATATTGATTATTAATGATCTTATCATTCAAACATAACATCATTATATGACATAGATCATTAATATTAAAAAAAATATATAGATAATCTTGATAGCTATTTTATTAAATATAAATTCTAATTTTATATTAAAATCTATATTTTTTTTTATATTATCATGCATAAAAATACATAGTAAAAAAAGAAAATACAAAAGTGAAGCAGAAAAACTTCATGAGAAATCTTGTAACGAACTTAAGATTGCTGGTGAAAATCCAAAACAGCAAAAGTTGTCTTTTTTCAATATAGCAACTACAAACTTATAAAAAACATCTTCATATCTTGAAACTTCTTCAGACTCCCCTTTATGCACCAAAAAAGGTGATAGTACAACGTTGCCTGACATTCTAGTCAATACCATAAAAAGTTCACTATCACATCTAAAAAAGTCATCCATCTTTATGTTTATTACAAGTATCTTCACCCATTATAAATTTTGATTCATGTTCTAATATACTGATTTTTCTCATGCTCAAACAAACGACAAAAATAGCATATTTAACATGCTCAGAGACTCCAGCTTCTTATTTACCTTTACATGATAGGACAATTTCACCAAATATTCCAATATCATTTCCTTCAAATGATAATAGCATTCCTATTCTATCCCTAACTTTAAAGGAACCTTCATCTTTATCTACATTACAAATACCTTCATCTTTCTACATTACAAATACCTTCATCTTTATCTACATTACAAATACCTTCATCTATATCTACATTACAAATACCTACATCTATCAATTCTAGTCGAATACCCGGCTTTTCATGCACAGAAGCAGCAAATTAAAAAAAAAGATCTCACCTATTAAGTCAAATTTATTTCATTTAAATTCAAATCTTTTTTATACCAACATCCAATCCAACCTGTGGACCTGAGACTAAATACATCGCGTTTGTATTATAGAGTAGTTATGGAAGATAAAGTATCACGAAATTGGCTTGCTATAATTAATCATGAAATTAAAGCTATTTACTGCTCAATTTGTATAGCTTTTACTGGTTATGAAAATTCATTTTCAAAAGGGTGCACCAATTTTAAATATATATTCTGTTATTGAAAAGTCAAATTCTGTCGATTTTGAGCCGTGCGTAACTTCTTTTTTTACAAATATATTATATTATTAGATTTCGTTTATTATAAAAATATTTCAGAGCTTTTATTTAATTATTTTCAATATTTTATTTTTTTGTTTTATAAATATTTTGTTAAAGAATATTTTTCCTCAGCCTTCCATATTAATAAAAAAATAAAAATATATATAAAACAATTAAGATTTAGTAAATATATTACAAGAAATAATAAGAATTATGATATAAAATTATGATATAAAATTATTACTAATATATAAAAATATGGGAAGATTATTTTAAATCATTTATTTATTAGGGATAGGCTTGTTGCTGGCCATTAAATGAATGAAATAATATATGTAATAAAGTTCATAAATTAATGAAGAATAATGCATTCAACTCAAAGGACGAGTAATTCTTTTAAAATGATCATATACATAAATATTAAAAATATAAAAATTATTTTAAATTTTAATATAGTATTTTAGATTTCAAATAAAATCTTATATTTCCAGGCCGCAGACTAGGTAAAAGCGGACCGTAGGCCCTTTTTCTTAAGAAATCTCCCACGAGGCCTTTAGTCTCCCAGTCCGCCCTTGATATTATCCCAGTTTCAAAGGGCAAGCTGAGAGGATGGTAGCCCTTGTTAAAAATTGGATTTAAAAGGCCAGAAAGCAAAATAATGATAACTGGTTAGCGCGTCTGTATTATAACAATTCGCGTAACCGAGAAGGTATAAAACCTTCTGAATTATTTCTGGGTCGAAGAACAAATGTACCATTAGATTTATTGAGACCCAAAAAGATCTATGCATACCCTGTGATTGGTATGAAAAAACAAAATTTAGTGAGAGCCAAATAGTGGGCATGTATATTTGTCAATAAAGAGAATAAGTGGGTTAAGGGCAGGGTATAAAACTATATAGGATCGAGATTAAATAAAATCATACTAATAAATGGCATTACCATCATTATACATAATGATCAAGTGCGTTTAGGAGGAAAAATGTAAAGTGCAATATTGTGAATTTCATTTGTCTTCACCATAAAATGGTAGTTTACAGTTTGCATAATATTATAGTTTAATATAAGTAACACCGATGAACTTTATAGTACAAAAGTGGGTAAATTAATACGATATAATATCGTAGTGTAACATGCATAGGAAAAGTTAAGTTTATTATGTAGCAACTGTGTACTTGGTGAATACAAAAGTAGGTTGTTCCATGTATAATGATATAATATTTTTGCTGAAATAGCATAAAAAATTATAATTTTATTATATTCATGCAAGAACAATTGTTCATTATATCCGTTTAATAGCATTTTGTTGGATTAATGGTAATTAGTAAAATTGGTTAAAGAATATTGATAATTAACATCATTATCATGAAAGTGAAAAAAAATAAATAAAACTTGGTTGGTAATATTGATGGCAGGTTCAATGAAGTTTTTTCTCCTTTGGATTAGTTTTTTTTCGTTTTATTACACACATCACATTTTTGACTCAATAATAATCACTAATATTAATTAATAATCAAATCATATTTATATCATTATTTTTTTGAAATTCTTTTCGGAAAATTATTTAATAAAAATTTAATCGCTTCTCATTGTTGTGTTTGTAAAAATTATGTTTTTTTTATTTGTGCGCGACTTTGTTAAGGTCGTTTATTTTTTTTACCTTTCATTCAATATTTATTTTTGTGTTATAAGAAAAAAGACACAATATGTAATAACTTTTTGGGGGTCGCGATTATTATTTTCGATTTTTGTAAAAAAGAAGAAATATATATAGAGATAAAAATAGTTTTGAAATTATTACTATGTTTTTTTGTCGCGATTGGATTTTCATAGAAAATAATAAAGTATTTAAACCAAAATAGATTTTATTGGGATTCTACGAATTTTTGGTAAAATATTTAAATCAAAATAGGTTTTATTTTAAGAGTTCTACAAAACTCATGTTTTAACCAATTCGAAACTCTTGGATTTCGAGTCTTGTTATGTCCAGATAACCATAAAAATACCTAAAATGGAATGGATATTAAAACTTCTACCAAAGATGATTTGACTAATGCCGTAAAAAAAGGCGATGTTTTAGATGTCAAACGGAGGTACATTTGATTAAGCAGAAATGGATAAGACTACTATCGGCCAATAAAAGAGGGTTAGATATATCGGAAATAGATCCAGGGCTATCCTCCCGCAAGATAGATCCAGGCCCATTCTCTAGCAATACTACTATGTAAGTATGTAAAAATCAAGAAAGAAAGAAAGATACTGCTAATAAAGATATGAACAATGTTACAATAAAGGAACTAACAATGCTAGCCATTTATAAAGATTAATGATAAATTTTTTTGATTTATATGTTATTTTTTAAATATATATTATTATAATACAGGAAACAGTGCGTGCCTCTTGCCCGTGAAGGGGTGGCATGTCATAGGATTCTGAAATATGAATTATTTTAAGTTTTTGATATTATTATATAATAGATATGTCAATCAAAAATTCTATAATTTTTGATTGGTTATTAATTAAAAATATTGTTAGTATAAGATATAAAAGTTGTATGGATATATTTTTTTAATATTAATGTTCAGAACAAATTTATATGAAAAAGAATAAAATTGCAGCTATTTAATAAAAAATTGTAGTTACATTGATCTTAAGTAAGTATAATAAAATATTTCAAAGATTCAAGGGCTAATAAAATAACTTCATCATGTTTTAATCTTTTCTTTGTTTCCAATATTTTATCAAAAAGGATATCTATAAGGGATGCCTTTGCCTCAGAATCACTAAAATCATCAAAGTAAATAAATATTTTATCCATCGTCTTAACAACAAACGTTGCTCTGGTTCGGGACAATCCTGCCGTTGTCAACGTGATTATTTATTATTTTGGAAAAATTGTTTTCGCTGCCCTCACTCTATATAAAAAATATATACAAGACTAGTTAAAAAGTTCATGATAAAATTGCCTGAAATTCAGTGTGGGTTGGGTACTCTATATATGCTGAAATAAATTTCCCATCCAATCAGATTTTTCAAAATTAAAAATTGATATCAGTAATGGATTCAAAATTAAGAGATTTCAAATCCCCATGGATACCATATCCCAATACGACATATATAGAATATTTTGTCTAAATTCATTATTATTATTTTTATCGAAATTTTAAAATATATAAAATAAAAAAAATGCAAATGGACTTGGGCACTATAATTTGAGTAATAATTTGAATCCATGTTAATTATATTTTGAACTTAAATAATTAGTAAAACCTGGATAGTTTTGCATTTGAAGCATTCGAAGGCAAGTTTATAGCATTTCGGTTTGATGGCACCTACCCTAATGACGTTACCCTTAATACAAATGTATTTTTGATAAAGATTTGATTTTAATTCTTTGTAAGATATCAAAAGATCGAATCGGGTGAATCTGGCTTCTATATAAGGTACCTCGGTTTCGTCGTCAAATTTGGCAACTTTTGTATTAAAAAAAGATTATAATTAATAGCAAAAATTTTTGAGCGAGCCTTTCTTATGAGAAATTTAATAAAAATAATTGAAAGGAAATTTTTTTAAATTTGTAAAAAAATTTTGAGAAAATCAACAATAAAACCTCAGCGTTTCAGTTATTATTCCAGGAATAATATAAGACATTTAGTATCAAAAAATGAATAAAGCACTTACAAGCAGAGTCTGGACACCACTATTTTTTCAGGTTAAGTACAAGCCCAGATCCCGATTTTTTTTAGAATGGTCGGTAAGGATCGAGGTTCAAAATTTTTTTTAAAATGGCGCTCGGTAAGGGTCCAGACAAGCCTAGCCCAAGATTGGTTCGATCCAAATCTATTATAAATAAAAATTACTATAATTTCGAATATTTTTTAGTCTAGCCAAAGTTATATAACTTTGATATTCTTTAGCCATCAAGAAATGCAGAGCACAGTTATTATGGAGAATCAATCGTTAGATAATTTGCTTACAAATGCATCTTCGTAAGAAAAATTTCAAAACAATGTAGATTGTGCAGGATATGTATTATGGTACCATATTCCTTTAATACTATTGCAAAAAATCACTATAGTATTGTTAAAGATTTCTTATCCTTTGTCAGAGATTTTCTTAAACACGTAGAAATATCTTTCATTCAAAATGAAATTGCATAAGACAAATATGCCATACTTGTTGGTTTTAAATAATATCGCCTAAAACATTACACAAAATAAGGCTTTCTGGAAACTTTTATTTCTTAAAATTATGATAACAATATTTGAGAGTAGAATTAAAGTTTGTAATTATATTATAATGTTAAATATAAAATAGAAATGCAGATCAAAATACATGCCTTTTATTTTGTCTTAAGGCTGATGAGACAAAAGATGCATGAGGTTGTGAAAACATGAGCATAATTATTCGCTATATTTTTTCTGGAGAAATCAAAAAAAATTTAATCGGAATTACTAATTTACAGTGTCTTATTGCTGAAAGCATTACTGATTGCATTTTAAAGCAACTTAATGCGTTAAATATTAATTCAATGAATATAATAAGCCAGGCATATGATGGTGCAAACGTTATGTCTGGCCGAAATGGAGGGGTGCAAACCCTGCTTCAAAAAAAATTAATAAAACTAACCATAAGTTGCACCTTGTGGTTAAAATTGGTACAATAATATTGTTGTCATTTCTAATTTTTTTAATTTATCCAATGCATTGTATAATTTTTTTAGGCGTTTTAACGTATCCTGTAAATATACAGGCCATACTCTTAGAGACTTTTAGACCAGAGGTAGACTGATAATTTAGAAACATCTCGAATTATTTATGAGAATTTTGAGGTTGGTGAAATATTATTTTACTTTTCTAATAGAACTTTTAATTCAGAGGTTTCCACTCATGATTCAATCGAAGCCTCTGGTCTTTTATCTCAATGTGATAATATAAATTACGTAATTTTAGCCATTATTATCTATGAAATATTAATAACAATAGATTCACTAAATAAGTATCTACAGTCAGTAGGTACTAATCTAGTGATGCTAAAAATTGTATTGAATCCAATCAATATCTAAAAATAAAAAAGAGATAATTCTTTTGATTTGATTAGAATTAAAACTATAAAACTTTTAGCAAAATTTAATTTAACCCCCCAAAAATCATCAAGGGTACGTAAAACGCCTTTAGATTTTCAAGATTTTTTAGTCGAGACAAAATTACAATTTGATTGTGAAAAAGACTCCAATTAGAGTTCTTTAAAAAAGTTATTATGAAATTTTAGATTTATAGATCGTTTTACAGATTTACCGAAGATGATTATAATTTGTTATCATGTTTTAATACTTTGTCTCCCCTTGATCCGGATTTTTTATACCAGATAAAATGGCTCCATTAGAGTCATTATTAAACTTAAATTGAAACACTACATCTGAAATGAAAGTAACTAAAGAATTATTAGTCAAGGAAGTTAAAAAAACACCTAATTTTGAAATCTTAAATATAATGTATAAAAAAAAATATTATCTCGCATTTAAAGAATTATATAAATGCTACTCAGCAGTCATTATCATTGGAGTGTCAACGGCTTCTTGTAAGGCCTCATTCTCTACACTAAAGAGAGTTTTATCTAGCACTAGAGAATCAATGAAAGATCAATGTAAGCAAAATTTAGTGTTGATGGCTTATGAAAAAAAGATAACACAAAATTTATCATTTAAATTATTTATGCTACTTAAAAATAAAAATCGTCATTATTATATTATAGTATTATTTTGTATATTCATATTATAGTATTATATTGTATTTATATTACATTTTCAAATTTTTAATAAAAATAGCTAAAAAATTTATATGTAAGATTAATTATTTGTTATATTTAAAAAAAAATAGTGCCCCCCTCCCAAGTAAAAAGCTGCCCCCCTCCACCAGGAAATTCCTGGCTACGGCCCTGGGGAAGGGGGGAGAGCAAAAATTTTGGAGGGCGAGTTGGGAAATTTTTTAACATCATAAAACGAATTTTTGAGTTATTTGAATATAAAATTAAAATCTACAAATGATTTTTTTTGAAAAATGATAAGTTAATTTAATGATTTTATAAATATGTTGATATCAGGTGCGTACGCAGCGAAGGGAGGGCAGAGTGACAAATCCCCTCTTCAAAAAATCCAGATGCCAGTTTAAATATTATTCAAAGATATTATTGATTACTGCATATATATTTCATTTTAATTTATTTATCACAAATACACTACTAATTCATTCTACGAATTAATATCGATTTCAAAATTTCCTTGGCGTTATATTTATCCATCATTTTAAAATTTCTCAAATCATTAACTGCGAAACTAAGGTACAATGGTTCAAAAATATTATATCGATATGATTGACACTATGAGAATAGCTAAAAGAAGCATTATATTGGCTAAGGAAATTAGGGCATATGTAGATGACAAATTTTAGCGCTGTGCCAATATTTAAATGACCTGTTTATATATACGTATATCTTAGAATTGGCACTAAATTGATAGCTTATTTTTTTATGTATAAGCATCTTGGAATATCGATATAAAATTAAAACTTGTTATAAAACAATTATCATAAGAATCAGAATTCTTGATAGGCAAAAAATTGTTAAAAACCGATCAACAACATAATCATTTCATTTGCAGATGCTCACTTTTCATTAAAATAATTTTATTTGGTAAATTATTTAAAATTTTTATTAACATTAAAAGATGGTTATGCATTAAAAATTTACTTCTTGTCTTGTGGCATTTACAAGATATACTATACACATTTATAACATATTTTTATATCGGAACAGCCCTAATGAATTTCATAAATTATCTAGCTCGACTCGAAACAAGGCAAGCTTATCGTTCCAATAATAATATAGGATCAGTCGAAGAATACCACAGAATAAATCTCTTTATTCCCCTCTTGGATACTTTTATAGCTAAAATGAATGAAATTTCTCAATTAATCAGGCAGCACTTAAAAATCTGCAAATATTATTACAGCATAATTCTTCCGAATCTATTTCAAATCTTGTAAGAGAAAAAATTAAATATTTGGTATTTTTAATTCGGGGATGTTAAAGTATCCCATGATGTATTACTAGCTGAATGCAAACTATGGTGTAAAAGGTTAGATATGATTGATAATGTTCCAAAAAGCGATATAGATGTTTCGAATAATTTTAAACCCATTTTATACTATTTTCTTAATGTATAAAAATTTTTATAAATATTTCTACTAATTGAAAGAATATTTCCTTCTTTAACAAAAAACATACCCGAGAAGAAGTGTTGTTAAATGTCTCGATTGGAACCAATTTTTAAAAACCAGAAAAATATTGCAGCCTCGAGATCTAGCAAATTGATGTCCAAACCTTTGTACCTGAGCAAAATCTTAAGGCTAGCGTAATATTTTTCTGAATAATATATTAGGTTAACTTTAAAATCGGCATAAATTGAGCCGTTTAAAAACATTACTAAGAAATACTAACTATGAAAATAGATTGAATGGGTGTTCGCCTTTCTTAATAAACATAGGGAGTTTAACACCAAGCACATCACTGACTTTAACTCAAGAATATTGAATTTTACATTATAAATTTATAATAAGTTTCTAAATTTACCATTTTTAGATACACCCTATTTTTTTAATGAATATTTTGGAAATTTATATAAATGTAATAATTTGTGCATTCTATATTTCCAATATTTTTTTAAAATATATTTAAATTTATATATCATAAAGTTCTTTATCGATAAATTTATCATATAATGATTCATATGCTGATATACATTTAATATTTTACAATTAATTTATATTTGAATATGTGTATTAGAAATTGTCAATTTTCACTAATATTATTGTTAAATGGTTTGATTTAAGTTTTTTAAATCGGCTTATATCATAAAGTTCTTTATCGATACATTTATCATATAATGATTCATACGCTGATATACATTTAATATTTTACAATCAATTTATATTTGAATATGTGTATTAGAAATTCTCAATATTCACTAGTATTATTGTTAAATGGCTTGATTTAAGTTTTTTTAAATCGGCTTAAATCGAGCCGCCTAACAACACTAGTCCTAATATGAAACTTAAAATATTCATAGTCCTTAAATAATTTTCATAAATAAATTTAATTATCCACCCCCCCCCCTCTCCCCGTAACAAATTCCTGCGTACGCGCCTGGTTGATATATTTTAATTGTGTATGATAATATAGGGATTCAATTATAAAATATATTTAATTAAAATATTTATAACTATATTACAAAAGATATTATGATCAATGATTGAGCAGTGTAAAACTAATAAGAAAATAAAGCATTAAAAATATAATTTTAGTTGAGATGTATTTCTAAATGCCTTGAAAACATTTCGAAACTTAATAGTTTCAGTATGTTTTTTTCATGTCCTAGTAAAATCAAGTTACCCTTTTTTATATCACTACTCGAACG